AAGGCATTGGGAGCATTTGTCAAACTAGGATGACAAATGGTTTACTAGAATAACATTTGTTGGTTCACCAATTGCCAAATTCTCACTCTTTAATCTTGAAGCCTTGAAGATAAACAGCTGTGATTCAAGTCCAGTACTACTTGCACCTGCTGTCATCACCTAATTCAGTCATACATTAATTAAATCCTGGGATAAGAAGTAAATGGAATACTTCTTACTGGTTAATAATAGTTCTGAATGCACATTGTACATGTCAATAAATGTATTACAAATTCTGTCCCTGTCTAAATGAAATTGTGACAATTTTTATTTTCTGTATAAAAGTTTAAAACCGTACGTGTATGTAATGAAGTCAGAAAATCAGATTCTGCTAATCATGAGGCTCTTAGTCACCCAAAAGTTCTCAATCCTCGATACAGGTAGTACGTTGAGTCATTCCCCAGGCTTAAACTTGATTGAAACTTTACTTTATCTTAAGTCTTAGCCATCTGGTTTTTGCACATATTGTCAAGTTTTTGTTGCTGTCCAATGGTGAATGGTGACACCATTGAGCTTGGGGTTAGATTTATAAAGACCTCTTGGGACAGAAATTTGTATATGTGACAAAGCCACATGGCCTCCACATTTATCTCACAAGGGCACTCTACATTGCCTAAAATACTGTGTATCATAGTAGTACAAGTGGTGCAGACAGGACATGGGAGGAACACCCAAGCGGCAGTCCACATTTCAACAACTGACTGGTTGCTTCAGAGAAATCACAAGACCTTTTTGGCACAAACACTGGGGTTTCAGTGTTTATAGAGGACAGTGACAGAGAGGTCAAACTAACATCATCATTTGTGTTTAGGAATAAAATTGTACTGGTACATGTACAAGTAGGCACATAATGGCACCCCCTGTTTTACAAAGTACATGTAGTAAAGAAAGCCAGACTGTCAATTATGATATGGCTTGTGTGATAGACACATTTCTTCTGAATTAAACGATTGAATAGTTATTTATCTGCCAATATGATGTTATGCAAGTACTGTTTCACCCTTCAAACTCATCTTTTTAACCGCTTTTTCCACAATAGACAAGTATACAAATTGCAAATTTTGTGCAAATTTCTTTCATAGTTTGAACATGGAGGTAGAATCACATGGTTTGAACAACAGAAAGAATGATTGACGTGTGCATATGTGACCTTCAACTAATTCTTATATAGCATCACCTCATATCACTCTGAAAGAAACTTGGAAAGCGTGTGGGTGGTAGGAACAATTGTATTCCTAGAATTATGGGAGTGTGATGCATTTTTGTCCCTTTTAGTACCACCATTTAGTGAGGTTTTTTTTTGGACAATTAAGAAAGGAAAAAGAGCAAAATAATAAGTTAGTTTGTTGAAGAATTTGGCTTTTTGAAATTTTGTTTGGGAGGAATGGAATGCACAGTGTACATGGCAAAGGAAAAAGTCTCTGGCTCTACAACTTTAATTAACAGTCAAGGCCCAGTAGTATAATGGAGGTTTTCCTACTAACAACCACAAGATCCCGATTGGGACAGCTAGAAAAACCAAAACTACGCAGTTACATAAGATCTGAATTGATGTCTTAATCAAATCAGAGTTGGGGCCATTGATTTTTCCAAGTAGCTGTAATGAAGCATGCATGGAAAGTAACATTTTGTCAAGGAATGACTCAAAATGAGTCAATCCCCCCAAGATCATTGGGCTGGGCCTCAGCTCACAACTCCTGGGAGGTTGACCTCTGACTCTGGCAAGTGACCAGTACTGACCACAGTTATTGAGGCCCCAAACCTAAACTCGGAAAGGTCAGTCAACATCCTTGCCATCAGAAATCAGTTTGTGTACCATCGGAAACATTACTTACCCAATTTCTTATGTATGATTAAGAGTTGTGATTAATGCTTCAATATGTGCTTCTGTTACACTTGAAAAAGTTCAAAGAAGGAATTTGCAAAATCTGACTCATAAAATGCAAAATAAATGCCAACTTGATACATATGGCAATACTTGTAAGCCTTCAGCCTTCAGCCTGCAACCAGACAGCAGGAACATATAAGACTTGTTTTCTATGGAGAACTGATGAAGAACATCTGTGTGGAATTACAGGCCTACAGTTTGTATGCCGTGAAACATTTCTGTCACAACATCCTGATTTTTCTCACTTTTCTTCACATATTTCTATTATAAAAGTGTTTGGCTGATGAATTTTTGGTAGTGATGTAGTTTTTTTTTACTGAATAAGTGTTCTTGTGATGTCAACGTTTTTCTGTAAACCTTCTTGGGGAGGAGAAAATTGCAACCGTGTATATACGTTTTTGTGCATGCTTCCAAAAGTATACAAAGAGGTAGGATGGCTGACTGTAAATGGCAGTGGCATTATGATGCTAAGCTGTAATAAGTCTAGGTTTCACCTTCCAGCTGAGCTTTCCTGGAAAATCGGAATTAAAGACCAGACTGACCTCTGGGTCAACAACCATACAAGGTATCCAGGGATGCCCGTGATGGGAAATGCGTTTGTCCTTCCTCATATCAGTTTGAAGTGGATGTGATGAAAACTACATGTTGGATCCTGTTCTAGTTTGGCCATATTAATGTTAATTGAAAGCTCATTTGTTCAAAATGTGGCCAGTTACATGACTGATTTAGTTTTAAAGCAAACATTTAAAATAGACCTACCTACTCTATCATGATGAACCTGTGCTTATTAATGATAAGGCTGTACCATTTGATAACATGTAGTAAGGATCTTATATAAATGTGCTGTGGATGATGTACCATATTCAAAAGTAGACAAGGAGTTTTATCGAACAATTTCTTAAACCAACTGAAAAGATTTGGACATGTTTGTATAGACATTTATGCATTTTTCTAAGTGACTTTTTTCTGTCTACATCAGTAGGTCTATTGTACAAAATGAATTTGGGAAAGTGGATATATCATGCACACAATTCTGCAATAAAAAGCATTAGTACAAGAACCAGTACATGTACATGTATGTGAATCAATGCATGTAGGCCCACTTATTCAGTTTGCACTGCACTTCCCAGTCCAAATGATGTCACACTTTGGCCCACTCAGCATCAAAGTGTGGAAAGCAATCCTTGCTACAGTTCAGTCACCTTTGCAGAAGGTTTGCATGCAGAAAAAATTCAGGCAATCAAAGCAAACATTTCTAACTCCATTTCCCTCTCTACACAACCGACTCTGCAGCAGGTACACACTATGTATATACACACTTGTCATACTGAGAAGCACATTTCCTGTTTGAGTTCATACCAGCAATGCCTCTTTGGATGAAATGAGTTTCTTTTGAAGTCTAAACATTAAATTAAAAGAACAGAAGTACTTGATAGCTCATCTGGTATTTTTAAGTGTTATTGGTTTATTCCTAGTTCATATACATTAGTTTTCTAATTGAAGTTGTGCATTTACAGACAGAGAAAATTTCTTTGTCATGTGTCACATATCATAAATGAGGATTACCTTGGATTTCTACATGCAGCATCCTATTTTTACATGTGCAACAACTGCAAATGGTTTCATGTATCACACAAAAGAGCTTTTAATGCACAACAATTTGTAAGGAGTAATCTTTCACAAATTTGTAAGTAAAGGGTCTTGCAAAACGGTAAGTTGAACTGATTTTTCCCCTTTGATGATTTGTGTGTCACATTGTCATCTGCCAGGACTGGCCCATGGTCTTTTTCAAGAACCTGTAAGATGTATACACAAAATTTTCTTAGTGATATTTGGAGTAGTTCTCAAATCACTAGAAATACATTCATCATACAAACACTCCTGTGTATGACCTGCATGGACACCCCTCAACCCTGAACAAACCCAGCAATTGAGTATTTAGAGGGCCCTGTGGTGGGGAAAAACAAGTGCTGTTTTGATTTGCTGTCATTTGATGCTGAATCAGGTAAATGATCATATTGGGGTTGCATTATGGCTGTCCACTAGCAAGGGTATTGGGTTTATTATCAATTCATTAGGGACCTTCTCTTCAAGGAAAAAAGTGCCAAAAGGAGGGCACAGTGGTAGAGTAGGCCTACCTGTTAAGCTTGAAGAAGTCGTGTATTGACTTGCCCTTGGTAATGGTTTAAGATTGGGAAAATGACTCCAACTGTTCAGTTTTACTTGAATGTAAAGGTAGACGTCATTTATTTATTTATTTCCAGTTTTATTTTAACAGGGTGCCCCATCAGATAAGAAACTGCTGCCTTTGGAGGCCCTGTAATAATACGAAAAAAAGTAAAAACTACAAAAACTAAAGTAATAGAAAAAAAATTGCAATATGTTTATTACTTGTAAATTTATCAACTATAAACATAAGCATGAATAGTAGAGTAACATGAAGTAATATGGTTATCAAAAGTATTCAATGTAGGGAAAATGTTGAAAAGAAAGAAACAGCAAATGTAACATCAGATGTATTTGCAATGGAATATTACATATTAACGTAATGCAGCTAGTGGAATTATTTTAGCATATCCTACAAAATTAAAATTGAATGAGATGATTGCAAGGAACAAGCACTTAACACAGAAAGGATCCAAATCATTACAATTTTTACATTGAGATGCTAATAAAGACTAAAAGAGGAACCCAGAAACTAAACGACCAAGGAAGTATCAAACAAAACACAAGAAAATGCATAAAACTAAAAAATGAAAAGACAATGGTTCCCTTGAAAAATAAAAGACAAGAAATATAAATGTTAAACATGTTCGTTAAAGTAAAACTGGACCAAGTCATAAGATAAAATAATGAACTTAAAGTAAGTAATAATATATATTAATTAAAACAGGTTTAAAAACCTTCAAAGATTTATACCAGGCAAGATATGGGACGGAGGGGTACCCCCCTTACCTGTCCAATCTCTGTACACACTGTAGACTATTGTTACCTAACACATCCCCCCTAGAAGTCTGTAAAGGATTCCTGAGATTCCAATCACACTATGACCAACACAAAGGCGAGGAGGGGTTCTCTCCGTCCCATATCTTGCTTCAAATGTAAAGATTTGGCTTATCGCTGAGATGAAGTTAACATGTTCCATCTCAGGGTCCCAAAATATTCAAACATATGTTTAGCGGCATTTGTCCTGGGAACAGTAAGGAGGTGAGGTAACCCATTAGACTTGGATCGAGTATTAACAGAATCAGATCGCATTGCTAAGAGTACTAAGATAGGCTGGATTCATGTTATTGAGACATTTATACACATCACATATTCTATAACATTGCCAGAGAGATGGAAAAGGTGACCAAGAGAGTGCCTGATGAAGATTGCTGATATGAGTTATGGAATGAGTATTAAGAATCAGTTTGACAGCTCAAACCCATCACTCAGATTTGTGTCATTCCTGTAATTGAGAAGGAGATTGTTTTGTTTTCTTGAAAGCATTTACCCCCCGCCAAAAAAAAAAAATGAGTGGCTGGACAGTATTACAGTATCCCCCTCCAAGATCTTGGAGAACATAGCTTGTCAATGATTTCATTACTATTTTGGCTAACTTTGAGGCACCTCATCCATCCCTTTGTGAAAATGATAACAACTTGTTTTGTTGTATCTTTTAAAATTTACTTCTGCACTTTGCTACTTAGGCTATGTATCATTGTGGATTTTTTTTCAAGAGAAAGGCGTATTTTTGTTAAGGGATTTTGTTCTGGCATTTTCACATTTGCATAAAGTTTGCGATTGTATTTAAGGCATATACATATGTAATCACAAACACTTTTCAGTGCATAAGCAGAAAATTTATTTCCCAGAATACAGTCCAAGGTTGTATCGACCTTCAAACTGGAGTAACACTAAAATGTGCCAGTACTTTCTTATTGAGATGAATCATGGAGGTTCTGCTTTGAACTTTTATTCATGGCATGGCAATAACTTATTTGTGGTAGATAAACTTTGTTCCACACTTTACAAAAGCAATTTTTTATTCCTGATTGTATTCACCCTCATGAATCCCAAGGTCTCTTTAAAAACTACATTTCATGGAACATTGGTTTCTGCCTATTACGGGGATTTGCAGTTCTTTGTGTCACTGTGAGTCTGACAGGTTTCTCATTGAAGGGAGACTTCTTGTACAAACATTAATGTGCCGCCGTTGTCATAAATTCATTGCGCTTCACTTTTTTTTGGATCAGCTACTTCAAGCAATGTGACTGGCAGCCGAAATACCAGAAAGACTTAGTTTTTGTGTATGTTCTTTTATGAGCAGTCTCCTCAGTACCTGTGGTTAACAAAGAAACAAAATGGGGTCACTAAAAATGTCTGCACAGTTTTTCCTTATTGGACTATTGTGAATGATATGTAAGAATTAGATCAGAATTGATACTTTGAAATGTTTGTTGGCAGCTGCATGTATTCAAACTTACAGGACCCATCTTACTTTTACATCAAATTAAAACTAATTGGCAAACTAGTCTGGGTACTGTATTCCAGATTTTCCAGAAGGGAGGGTGTACAGAAGCACTTGAACCCCTTTAGAAAAAGGGAGCTGCTAAGTTTTGTTAAGTCTGGGCAGACAGATTATACAAGTCTTCAAGAACTCTAGTGGTGGGAGCAACTGAAAATTCAAACTTCTTCTCAACTGACACAAATCAACATAATAGAGGTTTGATTTAACAGTTCACATGTATGCAGATTTATCATTTTGTCTTCACTGCAGGGTCCATGTGTAGATCCCAAGTACTGCAGAATGACACCCAGTCAGCTAAATGAATCATAACTTTATGACTAAATGTGTCTGGGGCATGGATCAGCAATCTGGTTCCAAAATAAATACTGCCCCATTTAAATTCAATCATTCAGAAGAATAGGGAGTTGATGAGCCATTCATCATGTGTATAATGGCTGCGTGCAGGTCCTGATGATAAAGAGCTGGGAAAAACCTACAGGCCTAGGGTAGCTTGGAAAGTTTTTCTTTTCTTTTTTTTTTTTCTTCAGGGAAGCCTAGTTGGCAGGATGATAGATTATGCGAGGCACCATATCAGCTTTGTGTAGCTGTTTGATTGAGAGGAATTGGGAGCTGGGAATGCTGCTGGGAGGGTAGGGGAGGGGAATTGGTGGGATGAACAACTTGGAGTAGATTGGAAATATCCAGCTCAGGGACAGGGTCACATGTTGGTCATGTACAAAGACTTTAGCTATTTCCCTTTTTAGTTTTAGTTTCAGACTCGCTTTGGTCTCTTGATTGAACCCTCCCCCTCATAAAGAGAATTATGGGCCCATTTCCAGCTACATGACTATCACATCCAATATATAGGAAATAACTTTAACTCTGAGTTTTAAAAAGTAATTTTGTTTTGTTTTGTTTTGTTTGTTTGTTTGTTTGTTTGTTTTTTTACTTTGCTTGAATAAAGCCAGCCTCTGATGAATAGCCATTAATCTTACGGTAAGCATTCTCATACCTTTTCTGAAAATTACAGCATTCAGAGAAGTAATTAATACAAAGCAAGCCGATATTTCATATGCAAAGTTTATTGCTTTGAAAATTGATTACCACAAAGAGTTAAACATGATAGGCAGTACTCTTGTCATGCTTTTTCATGCAGAAAATTGTGACAGGTTAAAAATTAATCTATGATGTTAACTTTTGATTTTGTATCACAGTTTTGCCCTTTTTGCAAAGTCAGTAATCAGGCACATTTTGCAAGGGTTTTTAAATCACATTTCCACTTCAGGTGTTATTGTGCTCTACATGTATACATATATGTGCATTGAGACTGATATAGCTTTCTACAATAACCCATCTTCTTGCAATCTCCTCAAATAAAGCCCATTGCCTAAATTCTTCTGGATTTAAACTAATCTTAATATACACATTGTATAATTGGCAAACCGACTGAAGACTTACATGTATGTTAAACTCGGGTGTATTTTTTAATTGCTCATTTGATTAAAATAAGACATTGACTGAAACGGAACTTGAAGCCTGTGGGAACACCTTTAAGTGCTCCATCACCTGAGCCATCCACATTACACTGTCTGAAGAACATATATTTTAAATTTCTGGAAAGAACTGTAAAAAAGATATTTCTATGAGATTGATCACTCTCTGTCTCACATAATATGGCTCCTTCCATCTCAGGCCCGACACCCCTGAGAATATAGTCCGGGCAGGTCCAGGGCGTAGTGTACAGTAGGATGCATGACTGGGCCATCATGCTGTGATTTGAACTAGGCAAACTTGACATCATTTTTTCAGCCCCGTCAGAAACCTGGTATGTTTGTTTTTGCCAGAGGGCTGTTCCTGTCCATCTTATTACTGTCAAAAACTTCAGTGACATTTAAGGTAAATACTTTAAGCCAAGGATATGCACCTGAAACATTGATGAAATGGGCTTAAACCTTGGAATACAAATTTTGAAAGGAAAAAAGTTGGGAAGGAAATATTTGACAGCTTAATTGAATTTTTGCTTTGTCCTTTGTTTTGGAGTGGTAGCAAAGGTTGAAATAAAGGTTCCAGTCATTGTGAAATCAGCATTGCAGCCTTTTCTAAATACCTAACAGTCTGACTGTCCTTCGTACGCTCTTCAAAACGATCAGAGTTGAAAATACTTCACCAAAACCTCTGGGCAAGAACAAGCCATACCTCAACTGGCCATCCCATGTTAGACAGGTCTGTGGCTGGGAAGATCTAACACTTGGGCCTTATTCATCAAACCAACTAGCAATGGGTTTCAGCTGGCAAGCCACTCTGTTCCTTGTACAAGCTGATCTGTCTTCAGTGGTAATCCCTGAGCAACAGGTTGCCAGTGTGATCATTCTGACTTGGTCTTGCTATTCCCCCTGTGGGAAGACTGATGATAAAAAAAAACATAACCCACAGCTGCTCCTGGTGACTGTGTGGCATCAAAAAGCCTGCTTAAAAAAAAAGGATAGATATCCCTTCAAGATGCTGCCAGAGAGCAGGAAGAATTAGAAATTGTGCTTTCGAGTAATGCCTAACTACAATTTCTTTCCCATCGCTTATTGAGATGATTAGGGGAGGGTGTTCATCTACATGTACATTGTAAATGTGAATAAGCCTGTCTGGTGTTTTAACAGTACATACACCAAATGAAGCATGCCAGAGTTCATTCAGGAAAAGCAATACACATGCACAACTGCCATAAGGTCTGCCCTATTAGCACAGCCGCATGTCGACTTGCACACATTGTTCTCCAAGGACCTTGCCTTTTCAAAATGCCGAATGGGCTCATTGCCAAATATCAGCATTTGGTATAAAACAGCAATTTTTTTTTATTCAGAACATTTTCAAAAAAGTACTTCTTTTCTGTTACTTGACACCTGGCACTGTGTTAATCCATCAGTGTTGAAATATTGAAATCCAAAATTGTGCAAAAGGGGCTGATGTTGATTTTTCGAGGCTGTGCTAAAGTGTCCTCAAGCTGAAATTGCTTTTAGCAAATGGACAGGTCTACAAGCCTTCAGGAAATATTGCCAAGCTAGTTTCTCGGGCTTTGTCTTGAACTAGTTTTTTTTCCCTACAATTTCATAATAATCCATTCAAAAACAGACTTGTTCAGTATATCTTGCTGGTTACATGCATCAATAATACACCTCCTCCATCATTTGTCAGCTGGCTGTCACTAGGTCACACAGGCCAAATGGATCCCCCACACACACTGGGTGAAAGATGACTTGGGAGAAGGCATGAATAGGAACAAAAGGCACTGCCAGCAGAGCCAATTCATCATAATGTCACTCCTCAAGGCTGTAAACTTTCCACAAGAAAATTCAGTTTCAACGTGTATGTTTTCCCTCCCAAATCTTCAGATTAATTTGTGGAATACGAGTGTATCGAGTGTATCGGTATGTCACCAAAAGATTTCCAAAGTAGCAAGAAGCATCACGACAAGAAAGGATATGGAGCATGTCACACATTGATACTTGTTTTAAATCCGTATCCCTGTGTATACCTGTACAAGATTTTGTTGGCTTGATGTTGCTATTGTTTTGCCAAATGCTGCTAATGCCAATATTCAACACCTCAGATATCTTGCAAGGTTAAGAAAATGAAGCATGTGCTCTTTCTATGCTGAAAGCCTGATGAAGTAGAGTGGTTTTACAAAATTACAAAACATGCCTTACATTTGAATACTTTAAAATTCATCAATTGTTCTGTGTTAAATTGACCGTGTTGTAATTAAATGGTACTGTTATTTACTCCAATTAAACCAATTCAAAAATATGATAATTCACATGTTAACAGTGGACATATTTTGCTGTTGTTGACATGTTTTTATTAAAAAAGTTTTGACAGAAATTATCAGAAAACTCTACTGACATAAAAACACTTGAGAACCAGATGCTGGGAGTACTGGTGATTCAATTGTGTGTTACCAAATGCTGTACTATTGCTTCAAAGGAATCTCCTATCCAATTAGGCACCAGTAGATGCTCAAGTATTGGAGTAGACAATTTCCAGTCACTTTGTCAGCCCCCCTCCACACCAAGTGTAAATGTTTGCATGGAACAGATAAGCGAAGTTCAAGTAGTAATTCAATAATAGATGCCAGTGAGCCCTTAAAATCCATTCAAATTGATGTTTGCTTGCCGTATTGAACTGTAGATTGTAATGGTTTCATCCAAAATGGACTGCATCTCATATAGGAGTGAAACATTCAGATTTTTCTCGAGGGAACATATGAGAAGCAATATACTGGTACCTGACCAGAATTCATCAAGTGTGATAGACTCTCTGAAAACCCCCTCATTGCATAGCATTCATCAAACAGCATGACACTAGATATTTGGGTAGCTTCATCTCTACCTTACTTCGTGCACATACATCCCATGTCCTTACATAACCCCTCCCTTATAAAACATTTCCGTGTGTTCATCAGCCACCAGAGATCATATGAAGCAAGATATGAGGCGGAGAGACCCCCCCTTGCTTTGTGTTGGTCATTGTTTCACTGGAATCTTAGGAATTCATTTCACACATCTTGGGGGAATGTAATTAGGTAACAATAGTCCAGAGTGTGTATAGCGATTGGACATGTGGGGGGGGTACCCCTCGGTCTCATTGCTTGCTGGATGTGCCAGAGTTAGGCACTTGTGCTCTGGGTTCATCTTCTGGACAGCAGATAAGCATAACTTCATGAAAGAGAAAGAAAAGTTATTGTTTGTTCCAGTGATTGGGTGAATAACACTCTGGGTTGCCATGAAAATGGTGAAGGACGCTTGAACATTGAAAACATATCAGTCAAACGGGTCGATCTGTTGACTCCCACAGAGCTTCTGATGAGGAGTGGTTTACTGCCAACAAAAGGAACACTTTGCCTTACAAAAAGAGCAGTTACAATCTGTACTGCTTTTCCATTTTTAAGAAGATCTTGATGAGTCAGTTACTTCTCATGGACGTAACTTGTGAGGAAAACAGGACCCGAGACATGAATTGTAGAACAAAATTTGTCAGTGTCATTACTGCATAATGAGCTGCACACAAAATGCTCCTTTAATCCTATCTGAACTCCAAACTTAGGTTCTACACAGTTATGGAGTCTATTTGCAGTTGTCTAAATACAGCATGAAACAATGCCGAAGCAATATTATGAAGAGGCTGTCAATCATCCCTGAGCCATACTGGCATTTACACTGTCTGTGTACTTTGACACCAGAGTCAGGTTATCATTGGAGGGCCAGGTTTTCCAATTTTCTTTGACCGAAGGTAATTGATGGCTGGCAAGTAAATTAGTATGACTCTTTGTATGGGACTAACTACATTCAGTGTATGGTAAAAAGGCTATTGACTTCACAGGAATTCTTTATGCTCAGATGGGAAGACTGCTGTGCTTTAATAATCTCATCATAAAAAAGATAGATATTCAACGGATATGATTCATACAAAAAGTATTGCTAGATGTGTAAACCTCCCATTTGCAATGTAGATGATGAGATTATTAAAGCACAGCAGTCTTCCCGTCTGAGCATAAAGAATTCCTGTAAAGTCCACAAGTTACCAAGTATCTTAACCTGCATTCACCAAGAAAAACATATTCATTACATTCAGGTTCAAGAAAATGAAAGACAATGTGAATTAAGTCACATTACTTTCGAGTTATACTCCAATGTGATTAAGCAAAGTGATTTTTAATTTCCATGTAAATAGGCCAAGTGATTTGTAATTCCCACGTAATTAGGCGAAGTGATTTGTAATTCCAATGTAATTACATGTAGGTGAAGTGATTTCTACCCCCACATGTATGCTCAGCCACACAATCATTGATACTTACAAACACGTAATTCAAAACAAACAGTATTGCACTCAAACTCCATGCTTGTCTGTTAGGAATAATAGGATGGATTACATTAGATATTAAGTAAGAATTAGCTGATATGCAGTGGGACTTATTATCAAAAATTATTCACCAGTGATGAATAGTGCAAATAGATACTAGCTGCAGAAAGCTTTCTAAATGAATTTTGTACTTAATTGCTGTGCCCTCTCATAGTTACAGGACATCAATCATTATAGCATATTCCATCATTTGTGATAAGACGGCGTGAACTCACTGCCCTTTGCTATCTATTTTATTCCATTATCTTCCCAACAATGACAGGTACCCGTTTACAGTTTCAGGGCTATAGTCAGCATAGTTTGCAAAGATAAACGTAGACCCCAGGATCAAATATTGATATGTTTAGAAATGGGCATAAAAAAGAAAAGAGATGATGGAAAATGTTGGGCTTGGTTCTTCACCAGGCCTTGGCAACCCTGTCCACATATGTTTGCACTGTGCGGGTCTGTGTTATTATTATTATCCATCCATCTGAATAGCATCACGCTCAACTTGATTTGGAAGATTTTGTCAATGAAAGCCAACTTTAATCATGTCTGTATTGATCATAATCTGTACTTGATTATTCTTGCATGACCCATTTTCAACTCCATGTATTTCAAGTCCCCTCTCTCCCATGTGTCAGTAGTCACGCAATTGCAGTTATGATTGATTTTACAGACACAAACCTTTAAAACCATTGATTCCTACGGTACATCTTGATTTAGCTCTTAAGTATGATTTTACATACACCCTCGGGGATTAGTGCTAATAATTCAGTTCTCATTATGAAATCAACTCATATAGCCTTTCATTGACAGAATAACTACATTCAGATTTTTCTGAATATCTTTGTAAAGCAAAGCATGATTACTAAATAATCAAACTCCCCCTGCATCTTAACTGAGCCATCATGCATAGGAGTTATTCAGACAATTTTTTAAGTTAGACAATTGCTGAATTTTATCTCATATAAAAGTGTGCACAAGCGTTGCCTTATATGCTTTCAGATGAAAAGAAAACTTTTAAGGAACACTCATCCCCCACAAAAATGATCACCTTGCCAACGATTAGTTATCTTTTGCATCTATACAGCATATACCACATCAAATGTGGCATTGGTAACGTTCGTGTGCTAGGAAGTTTTTCAAAGCCACCACTTGCATAATTCTGGTACAATGGAGGCGAGGCTATGTACTGCTCAGCGTGGTGGAAACACTCATCAAAATAATTACTACTTTGCAGTAACATTTCTGATGGTACAAAAATGTATGAAATACACATTCTGAAACTAATCTTAAAGCAATACATTCATATCAATGGAACAACAACCTCCACTTATGTCACATTGCAATTCAAAATAACAAATGTTAGTGTTTTTCAAGTCACAGCATCTTCTTCAGTCGTGATATTTCAGTATGATCTTGCAAGGTGACTCGTCTTCCCCTTACACAAAATCCCCGGTCAGCTTTTTGCCCCCTTGTGAACTAAAGAAAACCCAGTCACTGAACAAAGCACACGGCACCTTACCCTATGGTTAAAAGCACCACAAAGTTTGGTTGGTGGTGAATGAGCACTGTAGAGACAGGAGACGGAGCTTATGCAAAACCCATTCCAAACAGAGGTTATGGCTGAGAGAAATTGACCCTTCTTGCAGAAAGTGGGTCAGCATGACAACCAGAAGACTTGGTATCAGGTACCTTGACAAGCCAAATAGCTCCTTGGGTCACAAACCTGAAACAAACAGCTTTTATCTCTGATAACAACTCAGCTTGTTAAAGACCTCCAAGCATGCCAGTGAGCAGTATTCACACATGTAGGGAAAAAATAACCACCTTGGTCTACATTTGGGAGGGCAGTATCTTCCCAGATTAAACTTTTTTTCTTGCTTCAAAAGATGTACATATGATTTGGGAGATGTTAATTTTGTTGCTATTGTCCAGACACAAGGATTTGATGTGTTAAGGTCTTACATCTGCATTCTGTTGCTTGATTTGCTGAGTTTCACAAATGTGAAACTGAAATTGAAATTGCCTTGGTGGAAGTTGTATAATTTTTTTTTTCAAGATTGATTTCATTAACATTCCTTTACCAAAAGGGCTACTTTTCAGGACCACCCAACAAGTCTTTTTTTGTTGTTGTCGGTGCTTATTAATAGCGTTATTTAAACTTTCTCAAAGCATGCTTTCCAACTGTTTTGGTGACGGCAAAGGGGGCTCAGTGTAAACCTACATGAAGCTTGCAGTTCCAGGTTTCTGTTCTTGGAAGTCAAGAAATGATGATGTATTGCTCCTCACAAGCCCTCCTGATTGATCTACATAAATATACCTCATCATCATCAGCTGCATGTGCCCCATTCTTCAGCTGCCTTTCCCTTGCACAAGGCCTCACTTCTCCTATTTGTAGGTCAAGTTGGCTCTCTCTGGCACCTAGCACTGATTGATGTTTTGTCTCCCCCATTCAGGTCACCAGTTGTGTCCTTCTTGACAACCAAGATGGCCACCGACCCTTGTCCAATCAAGATCCAGTGTCTCCCATTTTGGTTGCAACCACCAACCGTTTGCACTTGTCGTTCCTTTGTGCAGTTTTTGGTCTGTCCACTGACGATTTGAAAAACGTGTACTGTCAACACTTGGGCTTGGATCCACCTCTTGTTTTGATAGGATCAGATGTTGGAGCATGCTTGGGAAACGGTCAAAATTGAATTTACAAAATAAACTTGAGGACAGGCATATTACAATTGAACTTCAAAGAATTTTGCAAGAACAAAATGTTGTACTTGCCATGAAAGTTTATCAAGAGGTGAAGTGAGTCCTACAATCAAAGAAAGTATTTTCACGATTCATAATTATTTGAATGTCATTGCCAGTGTGGTGAGTAACCTGCACAGCATTTACAGTCTTTATCGTTAGGTTTCTTAAGTTTCTGTAGTAAGTGTCTGTAGCAGGCATCCCCAAGTCTTTTATGACCTGCCTCCTGAGTGTTGTTCCTTTCAAGGTTATCTTTAAAAGTGCGTGGGCCTTCATAGGTGCATTCCAGACATTAAAATAAACACTCAAACTCACTGCCACAACTGCACTTGTTCACAAGCATCCTGATTAAACATTGTGCAATTCAGGAGGTTCTTGCTTCAGGGAGTCCTTTCTCCGGGAATAATGAAAGGTCACAGATCAGAATGTTCCACTGCACCCAAGAAATCTGTGTACCGAATTTTTTTCTCACATCTTTGTTCAAGAGTGCACATTCGATTGTTTCCACATGACCAAAATACAGGCTGGGAAGGATGCCATGAAATGTACATGCTGAAGGGATGTCATGTTCCTCAATATGGATGTTGTTTCCATTAAACTTTATAACTAGTCACTTTTACCATCTCAAATTCTATGAGCTTGAATGTCAAAATGAATCACTGTTAAGCGTGCAACAAAAGTTTTATCTTTCACATGTACATGTGTGGTCTTATGCATAGTGACCATCTGCATTGGGTATCTATTTAAGTTTCTATGTCCTTTTTACAAATGACCTGGAATTTTACCAGGCAAGGGCGGCTGTTCCTCAAACATAATTGATTATAAAGGCCGATCCTGCGTTAAGGCATTTACCAAAGTTTGAACAAGAAACTTAATGCCGGTTTTAATGCCCAGCAACCAGGTTGTTGGAACTGTGTTTGCAAATGGATTTTATAGCCAAAATTACATGTTCATGCATGTAGAATACTGTGTTTACTCATTCTTGTTATTTTGGTGCATTGCATGTTTTTACACAACAAAGTAGTTCTGAAGCAGGCTACCCCTCTTCCTCAGACTCCTAAAAAAAGGCAGCTGTTTGGACCACTTTTCATTGCATTTCATTTGCATGGGAAGGGAGAGAGTATTTCAACTTATCAGGGAAGGGTGAAGTGATGGAGTCATCCTCCATTGTCTGAGTCTGAGAAACAAACCTGCCAGAGACGAGAAAGAAGGAACAAGCGCTCTGACTGCTTAGCAAAAGAATGATGCAACCCTGTCACTGGAAAGGACAAAGGGTGTAATAGTTCTGAAAGGGCTTTTACATAATACTCTATTTCCGTTTTAAGAGAATGTCCATCCATATTATCATGGTGATCAAAATCATTTGACAATGTGTCATTAGGTCCGAAATTATGTAGATGTACCATACATGCTCTGTGTCACACTAATAAAATGTAGACTGTATTTTTATCAAGACTAGAAGGCTCAGTTCGGGCGACTTGTTCTCGTATGTTCACGAACAACACAATTTGTTGTGCGTGGGTCGCGCTCGAACGCCAGGAACAAACAACCGGTTATTGCTGGTAGTTAGTGCCAAGCAGCATGCAACACAGCCGTGTCCATGTACGTTATTCGAGAGTTAATGTTTGGATGGGCTGAATTCTTTTCTATTTAAACAGGAACATTCATTTCTGTGTCATGGAAAATAATTAAATTAATTTTGAAAAAATTCCCATTATCTCTGGCTTTGGAAGCCATCTCTCTACTCTTTGCAGTTCAAAAATCAAACTCTCACGAGTTTTCCCGTGTGTTCCTGTGCAACTCTGACGAGGACTGTGGTGTGTGATCCTGTTCCGAGAACACTGTTCTTGAGTCGTGTTCCCGCCGTTCGAGCGCGAGAACACAAAACCCGTGTCAAGAACAGGCCGCCCGGACTCGACCAAAAAGCACAGGTTTACCAGGGCAGTATTTCTTTCACTGTTTGAGTATCCTCAACTTTATTGTACAAATTTTGGCGGGTTTCATCGTCGGTAAAAAATTATACAGTGAGATTTGCTTTTCAAAAGTGAAAAAGTAGAGTTTCATACAAGTAAGTACTTCAAATGATGGTAAAAATATATGTATTTACATTAAATTAATCCTTTACAATTTACACATCCCATAAAAACATGGAAGCTGGTCCGTTAGTTAAAAAAGTATGCAAAGACAGTTAAGGAGGCATATTACATTTACAAAAATATACAGTGAAAATGTACATTCACAAGAGATCACATATAAATAATAGCCGTGGTCTAAGAGCATTTGCTGAGAATCAGCATCTGCATGGGATTTAAATCCTAATACAGCCAACTGGCTCTAGAAAGTGCATTCGCTTTTCCAAAACAAACTGGGACTTTTGAAATTGTAAGTAAAATACACTGATATTATTTGTACATTTCCTAAGACTTAATTGTTTCTACCTATACCAGATTATCCTTTAGTAAGGGCCGTCTTGCATCTAGATTACCGAAAAGTATTCCAGCAGGTATTTCATTTCATTAGGTTTGCCAGCATGTTGATCTTTCCCAAGTATAATTGAAAGCTTAATATTATGACTTTATTCTCATCAAATAGAATTATTCTAATAGTGCCAACTTAAGTCAAAAGCATAGTGTGATTGATGGTGTGATGCAGCCCACTTGTAATTTCATATTGTGAAAATGAGCCTAAAAGACAGGAAAGGATCCTTTCATTTGAAGTGGAAGACTGTTTTGAAAGAGCATGGAAAAATGCAAGCTTACTTCTGAAAATGAGGCATGTTTACAGAAAGACAATACCTTTGTCAGTGTTCATAAATTCCTAGAAACAGTGTACAATTTCAAGAAAGACTATGAAGTTACATCAAAATTAATACATGATATCACCGATATCATTTGTCATTTTAAAGACTGAATCACAAACACTAAAAAAGAGCCTGAAAGATTATTGATACAATTAAGCACAAGTATGAATCGGAAGTAACCTTCATCAGGTCGCTGCCGGAGGCATACATGTTTGTTTTCAGTTGCTACTCCAGTGACTAAGAGCAGAGGTCATTATAAATATTTATAGAATTGCACAGCAGTACTGCATTTACAGGAAGATTAGAGTCTGATTTTCCCATGGCAACACATAGGAGTCAAGTGCCCAGTCCCCAGAAAGTCGAGAGACGTTTGAGCTCGGGCACAGGTAATTCTTCATAGCAAACCTTCAGTTATTGTCTAGCAAGAGTTCGTACTAAAGTGAAGACCATAGTGTCATCTTCTCTGGCACTCGAACTGCTCCAATTTGTTCTACACTGTACTGACATCACTACAAGGGTTTATTTCCATAAAGCATTAAATTTGTACATGTAATGGTACCATAAGCATTGTTTCCCATTGACCATTTTTGTATCGTCATGCAAGTATACAATGTTGCCTAATATTGGGACCTCTGGAGTATCAGTAGGCAAATAAAACTGCCAGTTGTAATCCCACAGAATTGAAACCATTGTGAAGACAAGAGGTTGTTTTACTGGTTAAAGGTTATTGTACTATGGTTTGATTGACAAAAACCTTCCTTTTGACAGAAGCAGCACTTTTTATCCCAGCTGGCTGAAGTCCATCAAGAGAATACATGTTGTTAGGATGCATTGGGTGTTCAGTGATTAGCAATAAAATCTGTCATATCTCCTTATCTCAGGAAGTCATTATGATTACCGGTAGACTTTGTCTTTGTATTTATAGTTAGTAGAGTTCGTGTACGAAGTTGAGTATTACCCTTTACCTTATTATAATATCAGTGTAATCCATGCCTTCTCAATAAAAAGAAGAATAAATCAAGTGGGAAAAAATTAAAATGGCTATAGATCAATGGAAAATGCATTTTCGTTTTTAGCTTCCTATGTCTATTTTGATCAAACAGTGGAATGTTTGAAAAAGAAGTGCCCAGAGATAACAAATCAGTAATATTACATGTTGTCATCCTGTGAATTTATGAGTTGCTTTATAGGTTTGTACAATTTATTTACAATTTTACATAACTTTACAGTATTCCTCTACCAAAATGCAGTATTATGCCTTGCTGTGACTTAATGTTGCTCCATTTGCACATTTAGCTTTAGTCACTGAGAAAGGTTCCAATTTTGATACTTAGTTGCTCAAACAAACCGCTAGAGACAGTGGCAAATAATTTTCAAGTTTTTCAAATATTGAGTCTCATAACAAAAATAACCAGCTATCAAGTTATCAGTGACCAGGCTCTGATCATATCTTAGTGAAAAATTCTGTGTGCCGATTTTTAAAAGCAACATCTTTTGATGCAACTTGATCAAATGCCCATGACCCCAAAGTTTTTGAACAACTCTGTTTTTTTCAGACGGTTTTATTAACTGCAAAATACTGAAAACATCTAAATCACAGGATTTCTGCAATTAACGATGAGGACAGTTGTCTAATTTGATGCAGCCTGGGCCTTGCTGTTGCATTTTTCCTGGTGGCGCTTCATGTGCAATGAGAGGTGGTCAGAACGAGAAAAGCAGCGCTCACAGATCTTACACTTGAAAGGCTTAGCTCCGGTGTGCTTGCGGTAGTGGCGCGTCAGCTCATCAGAACGGGCAAATCGCCACTGGCAGCCATTCCAAGAGCAGAAGTAAGGTTTCTCACCGGTGTGGATGCGCTGATGGGCCTTCAGATGGGAAGACTTGGTGTAAACTTTAATGCATCCTGCAGAATTAGCAGATTAAAAAAGCCAACTGATTATTCATTGTTGTCAAGCTACTTCAGCTTCCAGAAATTTGAGAAAACACCAGACCTAGTACCTTCAAAGTCTTTAGGGTACTTCTTTGAAATAAAACATCAAATCAACTTTGATTTCCAGTGTTACTGAGACAAATTAATTGAAAATTGTGTGACAGGTAACTATTACAGTGCAACCTAAAAGCTACACATAACTTGAAACAGATGAATAACTTCTGAGTATTGTTGCTGCTAAATAAATGCTGATCTCGGTGAATCTGTGCTGATTTCAACCTCACATCGATTTCACTCAGTAATGAACATAAACAGACATGGGCCATGTTATTACCACAAATCATATCAAAATCCCATTATGGGCTGTAATATCATGCCCCAGGCCCTCTCCATCAATTGACCAAAAAAAACAGTCTTTCCCAATAATCGAGGAGGCTTTGCTGGGTATTACATAGACCTAGAGGGTTCAGAATAGGGACTTAGCACAGGTGTATGGTGTTCTTAGCCTATGGGCACTCTGCTTGATAAGGGAATCTGCTTGCTCAATTTACACAGTGGAAAGGAAGTGGTTTTCTTTTTTTCCTCTTTTTTTAAGAGGGCCATTTGGCCAAGATCAAATGGGATAGATTTGCTCCCAATGATTCATGGAGACAAAGGTCATTTAGATTCTAGGGGTGAATGACATCCAGAAATGTGCCCAACCAGGAGCTGTGCTGCTCTGATTGATATGGAGACTTAAGCCTCGGTGTCACAAACTGGACCTCCCTTTTTAAAAAGTTTTTGCCATGATTGAAAGTACAGTAAATCTGTGGATGGCTTTTTAGGGAATACTAACACCAACACAGAGAAAACATTCTGCCTTAGAAATCACCATTTTTAGGTGATCAATCGTAATAATACTGGAGCAGATTTTCAAAATCTACAGAATCTATTGCATGCACGGAATGTAAGTAATAAAAAGAAAATTAGTTCTAAGTCCGTGCTGTCCTCAAATTAAAAACGTATTAGATTTCTACAACTATTTTAAGGACTACAGTGTTGACAATCTGAGCCTAGTAAATCATCACTTGGTTTCGATATATCAATTCCAATGATTGATGTGTGGTAAATTATGCTTCCTGTCAAAGTGTACATATTTATTCTTGACACAGTTGTGGCTTGCAGGAATGGATCCACAGATGTCTTTGGAACTTTGGCTTCCGGATCTTATGTTTTATCTCTACATGATGTTTGCATTTATAGCTCCATGGTTTGCATTAGAACAAATATACAGTGTAAATGGCAGTGACCTCCAGACTTGAGAAGAAATGGTTCTTGATGCCTTGCTTGTATTTTGTTTTTCGTTTGCCGTTTCAGAATCTTGCAAAAAACCTCCATGGTGATCAAACACCTGCTCAAGAAAACAACTGAAGACAACCCGCATTCTGTAAGTTGTTTGTGTATTACCCCCTTTTTCATATGTCACATGGTCAATTAGTAGTCCCATCCCAACAAAAACAAAAAAGGGGTCATAAAAGAATTAATTTAACTGAAAGATACAGCCTACAGAGATCATGCAGGGCTTTGTAACTGGTGGTTGGCCTGACCAAAAAGGCCTGGTAATGTAGCCATGATACAACAGCTGGGACGGCTCAGGTCAAAGGGAGGTTATAATTATTGTCTCTATGGGTGCCAGAACCTGTGGAATTCTGTGTAGTTGGTCACAAAAGTCCACATTCTTGTTAAACCACTAATTGACTGCCAGTTTTATGCATTGCTTTCCTTTTGGAGTAATTTGGTTCTTGGACTTTTCCTGAATAAGGTAAAAGACGTGCTTTTCTAATCGAATAAATAAACTTTCATACAACATTGCTTGACCATCTTTCTAAATATAGAGAAACCATGCAAAGTAATACTGTTTCTCTACTAAACAATTCAAAAATGCATTAAAAATGAACTGAATTATCTCCAAAGCAGTGCCTGTTACAGAACGATTCACTTGAGTAGAGTCTTGAAACTGGAGAAATTTCTTTGTAAAACAGTGGTACAGGCAGCCTTGTTAAAGATACAAAAAGATACAAATTCTGTGATGGATTGATAACATGTAAGTTGATGCCTTATCATTTTAAGGACATGATTTCCAATATGATAATAAATTAATGTTTAGTTCATCAATTGTCCTGAAATCATTTCAAATGTGGTATGGTTACAATACTGTAACATACTGTTCCCTTTTTGATTAATGGCAAATCTGCTTCCTGATTTCTTTGAAGAAGTTGAAGTTCATAGCTTAACAAACAAAGAACTGGTTCTGTTCCAGCAGTAACTCTGAGGTATTTTATTATGTTTCTGCAAATGGCAAGGTTAGCCGCACACTTCACAATTGTATTATGTCTCGTTCTCGCCTACGCAAATGGAATTGTGCATAAAAGGCCCCCTGCGTCAGGTTACTGTTGGGAGCCAATGAACCTATCATAAATCACACTTCAACAATAAAGCTTTATAGAAAACTGTGTACACTGCGTGGAGGCTGATATCAAAAAGATTTTTTTGCCATAGAGAAGAATGGACTGGAATGGTAGCCTTGAAGTTGGTGAAGCATTAAGCTCCAGGCACGTTCACAGCATCTATTGCTAGAAATGCAGACCAGTCATGCGCAGGTTTTACAGGAGCCTAGTACATGTACAACCTAACAGGAATCATCAAATGAAGTGAAATACCTTTCTATCAATCAGGACATCACACAGCAACAATTGGAACAGTCAACGAATAACTACAGCAATATTTTTCAGTGGTTATATCAACAAGTTGGTGAATTGAAGCATGCTGGCCTATGGTTTAGTAATACAAAATCTTATAATCCTTCAGTTTGTTTGATCGTTGATGCAGTCACTGGTGTAAGAGTTTTGCTCTGAACCGTTCCTAAGCAGCTGAAATTTTGTTAGCCCGTGTTAAAGGAAATTCATCAGTAGGTAGACCTGGATCCTTCCAGAAGAAAAAAAGAAAGTGGACATGCCTCCTTTCATGCTGCAACTGATTCTGATCATGTGGAAACAGTGAAAGCAGTCCAAGCCCAAAAATGTGTCCCCAAAGCAGAGACTAAATTTTACTGTCATTTGAATAAATCCGCTTAATGGTGTTGTGAACACGCTGCCCCTTTTTGGAGCCTCGGAATTTACACCAAAGCAAATGTCAATTTAGAATTGTTTTCAGAGGTCTCTTTTGTCTGAGCTTTTCAATGCGAGAAGAGGGGGAATTCCAGTTTGTGCAGTGGAGTACAAATTACATCAGTTCAATTTGAAACCTAAAAAGGTAGATACTAGTCTTTCAGGCACTTGGTACTTCATCAAGGCCGCGCTGTTCACCCTGTGACAGTCGAAGGGCACACAGGGACAGCTTTTGTTGCCTGCGCTCTGACCAAGAGGTCAGCATATAGCCTTTAAGCACCATGCTGACCCGAGGTTAATCGGCTCTCCCCCTCACTCTCTCACAACCAGTCAGTGGTCTTTCTCACAACTTTTGTACTTGTACGGCAAATTTCAGTTGGTTGGCAAGCTGTCATGAGTTGACACGACCCTTGTGCAAGAACTCAACATGATTTGTTAAAGAGACATAGCTAATACTATATGAAAAAGATTTCAAAGCTGGTTTGTACTATTCAGCTCGCAAAGAGAAATAATTTTGGTACCATGAAATTAAACTACACTCTCAGAATAAAATGACTTCAGTGACTTACCTGGATAGTTGCAATGATGAATTCTTCTCTTTTCGAGTTCCGGGTTATTCTTTCTGTTGTACTTTAGGACTGTGGTTGGTTTATTGTCCTGTTTGTTCATGACTGCAATGGTGTACGGTGGGGGAGGTGGCCGCAATGGGTGACTGGTAAATTCAAGGGGTAGATCAGCTGGTGACCCAGGCTGGGAATGGGGTGGCGTGGGGGGCATTCCAAAGACAGAGTTTGTAAAAGGCTGATGGTTGAACTGGGTCTGTGGGGCCACTGTTTGATGGAAGTCCATGCCTGTAGGAAACCCTGGCATGCAGTCAGGTGTCATGGTGGTGGGTGTGTACTGCTGATGGTTTGGCATCGGTTCAGACTTGATGTGCATGTTGGGCGACATGAGTTTGCAGTGGGATGGGTAAGAGTCCTGCGGTTCGGTCTTGATGGAGACCCCGTTAATGGTGATGGGAAAGTTATTGTTCATGTCCTCCATGGGTGAGGGTGGCATATTGTGGCCCAAACTGTCCTGTTGACCCATGATGCAGGGGTTGGTGTTACCATTTATACTGCATGCAGGCAGGTCGTGTGAATAGGACTCAGACTTGGCACACTGGTAGTGGTGCGTCTGGGGGAAGACCACGTTGAGGTTTCCACTGATGTTGAAGGAGAATTTGGAGTCACTCTCATCAAAGAAATCATCCATGAGGGATGCACTTTCTCGCCTCAGTTTGTTGGCAAGGATTGTGCCTGGACTTGCTGTCTCTGGTCTTTGGAGATACCTGTCAAGCTCACCCTGCATTTCATTTAGAGACAAAATGTCGGATTTGTGGACTTTTCAATTACATTTTGAATAATACGCGTACATCTTAAAATTGATATGAATACTTTTTAATGGCTACCACACATGCAAAAAAGAATACTAATAGGCCTACTTGCTAAATAAACTCCTGACATACGTTGTCAGTCACTTATCAGAAAAAGGTGCAAGATTTTGCCTTGACAATCTGTAACAATAGTAAGATGTTCGGCTGAATGAGTCCAATGTTACAGTTAACACATTCTTCCACTTGGCATTAAAAACAATTTGGGAGTTACTCAAACATTATTTTTTCATTTCAGCCAATAAATGTGTCCACTGTTATCATTATGTAATGTTTATCATTATGTGATGTTTATGTTGATAGAAAATGACACTTTTTCTTACTCATTTTATAAAAAATGATGTAGTCAGAAAAGTTCATTAATGCAAAAGTATAGTAATTGAAAAGACCAATTTCCATAATTTCACACCCTTTCTATATTTTTTACCGTTATGCAGTTCTGCTTGAGACTCAGGCAAATTAAAGAGATGCAAATCAAAGCTCAGTTTTTTATTTTCAATTCAGTTTAAAATTTGGATTCAAAAGCAGGTTCGGCAACAGAGAAATGGGTCAAACATATCTCGACCAACTCATGGATAGTTGGTCATTACAGAAATTTAGAAATTATGAAATCATGATGGCGATTACAGCTGGACTACTTACCTCTTGCCAATTCTCCATCGTGTTGGGTGCTGCGAAAAAGTCGGGTTCATTCTTGACCAAGAACTCCGTGAGCAGTCCCTCGCCTCCAAATACCGCCGTTGGGTCGTCATCCTGCATCATCTCCACAGCCGCCGTGGCCATACTCGATGTCCAAACCGTGTGTGGGAGCTTCTTGCAAACGAAATTGCGCCCTTGGAAACTGACACGCTTGGAGGAACCCAGTGATGTGAACTTTATTGTCAGTAATTAGGGGCTTTTCTCCTACCGCTGTTCAAGTTTGTTTCTAGAGCTGAGTTTGAGCGGTCCCCGGTCGTGTTATGACAAAACTGTCTGCAACTCAATTTCCAGTTGAACGGTGTTTATATTCTCTCACAAATTCCCCAGCAAAACTGAACTCTCATCACGTCCGAGTGTGCAGACTTCCATTGCCGCACGCACAGCACATGCACATTGTACAATATGTAAAGCTGTTGTGTACAGTACATGTACATGTACACTTTGCACACATCCCCACGTGGGCGGACTACACTAGACACCTGACGCGTGTTGACCCAGCCGTTATGATACCAACCAATCAAAGGAAGGACAGGCAAATGACGTCAAAAAAACTTGATCACCGACTTGGCGCGGTTGTGTAGGGACAACTGAAGCGCTCAACCAGACAACGTTACCCTTGGCAACCATAAATAAATAAAGAGCATTGTAAATGTAAAGTGGCATTATGACTTGTCCGGTTTGTCAAGTCATTGCTATTGTTTGCTCGTTGGGTTTGAACTGTTTTATTCGGATTGCTTGAAAGCTAGACACGTTGAGCTCAAAAGAAAACAATGAGATAATCCTTCCTTGGACAATCCCAGTGATGTCGATCTAATTATAACAGTACATGACGTCTCCGAAACCCGATCAATTTAATCATTTTGTATTATTCCTTTTGTTGATGATGTAAATGTCTCTTTCTTTCTTTTTTGAAGACTTCGCTCATTTTGTAGTTTCTTTACGTCGCCTTGGAGGTGGTTTCTAAAGTTTTAGCCGGTATCAGACGGTGCTATGGAATGAGTCATTGAGAACATAAGTAGATTTTGTTTGGTTGCGATTGTTCTCCAGATTCCCTGCAAGGTGTCATTGAGGATTTATCGAGGCAGGGCCGTTACACACATCAGGGCCAAATAAGCATTTTCCGCTTTATGTTCTGAACAAATAATAACAATAACCCAAAGTTTTGTGTCACCCAAATGACCCCCTTCCGCCCTCGGGGACATTCCCCCGCCATTACAAAGTTAACAACTTGAAAGTCTTGCCTTGTTCTTGCGAACCCATCCTTTTCCCTGTACCCCAGTCCAGCCAGTATTTGTGAGGGCGCCCCGTGATGTCCATACCCATGTCTTAGTGTAAAATAGCAACAGCCAATGTTTTTCCTTCTAATCGGTGTCATTACAGCTCACTGAAGTATAAGGGCTAATTATCCGGGGGGCACCCGGGGGTGCACACATTTTTTCAAGGGGGCACCACAAGAAAATAAGCTGCAGCTGCCTATAGCTACATAAATTCAACGGACTCAAATGTCCGTGGCGGCACGTCCCCGCTGCGCCTCCCCCCCCCCATCATGGTTACGCCACTGGTGAAGTTACATTTTAATTTTTCTAGGGTATGAAAGAATCGTCACCTAAACATTTTTGCATGCGTTACAGTACAGGCTGGACTCTATGAACGTATTGTAAAGTACCGATACTTTGTATGATAGCCCATGTATTTACTCGTAGGTTCCCCCATCCTGCCCTCGCAGAAAAGTGTATAGTTTCACCTTCACGTATCTGATTCAATATGGTACCTCTCTGACGATCTGCTACCAAGTTTGGTTTCTGAAACCGGAAATACCTTCACGTAAAACGACCGAAGTCATGTTCACCGTTGTGTTCTCGACAAATCGATACATTCCTTTGTTCAAATTGTGAGAATTTGCTTCTTCTTCAGTGTTGACTAAAGAATTGCCGGATATCTTTCCATCTAATCCCTGTTTTATTACTCCTTTGTGCATCGAAGGTTACTCATTCCATATTTCAAAGACTCTGTCGCCACAAATAATTATTGTTTTGTGTAAATTCCACTTTTAGAATTGGCTCCTATTCGTTTAAATGGGACACGAGGATGCTTGAATTGTCGGCCGGAAGTTTCACGTTTACAAAATTCTGTTAGACGAAAAAAACGGTGTAGCCTTTGGCTGTTGTGGTTTTAAGTTGAATTTGCAGTGCCCTCACATCACTGAACTTTTTTGGATTGTTAATGCTAGTAAAGGCAGTGCCGCATTAAAGATATCGCTGGAATCAACTATGGAAGTCGCAGAACAATGTTTCAAGGGATTTTTTAGAGCGGGAATCTAGGTCCCCAAAGTGGGAAGATTTGAATCGGTGGGCAACATCCACAGTGTGTTCAAAAACAGTTGAGATTATGGAAGCCATCACAATTTACCGGATGCACATTTGCAAGCAGTGCTTCTAGGTTGTGTTGGTTGTTTTTCTTAGTGAAAGGTTATTCTTCGCTTGCCTCATTATAATGTACATGTACCACATTATTATCGTGCAAAATGTTGACTCCATCTGCACGCATTACTCACACTTGGGGGGAAAAACCTGTAGATACTGTCTTTAAAAATTGCTTTTTCAAGTTTGAATACAACTTCAAAATAGTGTACAACTTTTTAAGAAATGGTCCCGTCTCTTCCATTATCCCCGCACCTCCACGCGCCCCCCAGTAAGAGATGCCTATGCATTTCAGGAACTCGGCCACGTGACGACAGTCAGTATTCATTTCAAAACAAGAAGAGGCACAGCTCCCACCATGACTACATGATAAGGCATCATTTTGTAAACATCAAAAGCTAGGATGTAGGAAAGTAAAACATGACACAGCAATCACCTGTCGCCATTGGCGGATCTACTATAGGTGATTGACCCCCCCTCCATGCCGCCAAAATTCAAGAAACTAATTTAAAATTCTACCATTAAACCCCTCGTACATGTGTGTACATGTACATGTACACACATGTACGTTACATGCTGTTACTACATTATCCAGAACCTATACCACAAGGGGCAGTACATTTTTACCAGTTTATTAGCTGGATCCTAATATCGGTAGCGTAAATTTGTGCTGGAATTAATCGGGGGGATGGTGGATTGAGAAAGATGGGGATACCCAGTCGCGACAATTTGAAAAGGGGGGGGGCGCCATGTGACTGTATATAGAGGTCGATGTTCATGGTATTGATGTACATCTGTAATATGTATTCGGAATTCAGAATGGCATATTTATTTATGGCTTTTCAAAATTGTTTTTTTCCTTTCTTTGACTGATATCAAATGCATTTAGTTGCTGGAAGCCTGAAATATTCTTCACAATCCGCCTTAATCTTCACTCTCCAAAAAACAGTGGGGGATGATTCAATAGCCTACCCCCCCCCCAAAAAAAAAAGAGGCGAGGGGGATACATACCACCACCCCCCTAGGATTTACGCCCATGCGTAATATTGTAACCTAGCAGTGACAAAGACATGACCTGGTACATTGAATTGTACTAAATGTTCCAAAGATCTCAATTCTTGTTTGAAGAGTGATCTTAGATTGAAAAGCGAACTGAAGAAAAAGAGAACTTTGTACATTACACCAATAACCTTTCTGAAGATAGTTTTAAAGGATCCCTTTCCCCTTTCGATTGTATGTTTGCATATTTGGTTGTTTTTACAATTTTTAAATGGGCCTTTTTTGTTTTGCCCATTTTAAACTGAATTTTGGTTACATGTGTACTGGCATTTTAATCAACTCATTTGTAAATTTGCACTTTTAACCATTTACGGTTTTTTCTTATTTGTGTCTATATAAGATGTTTTCTCTGTAATTTGGTTTTTCGTTCTGTTTTTTTTTAATTTTTTATAATGTTTAATTGTTTATAGTTTGTGATGTTTTAAACTTTGTAAATCATGTTCAATTCAGCTGACGCTGCGAGGCATGATTATTAATAAACCAATTTGAATGAATGAATGAACGTACGCACCACACGCTGCGTTGGTTACTGCTTTATGAAGTCATAAATCTCAGAAGCGAATTCAAGAGAGGAAGAGGGGTTTCAACCCCCTCTTCCCTCCCTGTTACCAAAGATTATAAATGGATTGTTAATTTTTCGACTCGATGTTCCCAATGGAATTCTCAAATCGTCTTGGAAACGCAGGCAAGGGCATCAAAGAGTCTGGCTTTCTTCCAGAGGAGGGTAATGCCATCATGTCGGCAGGAGGAGCCCAAATTCTGGAAGATGGATCAATCGTTGAAATTATGGGTCTTCGATAAAATCGCTCTTCTGCTTAGAATGCCAATGGCATATATATAGTGTACCTAACTTTCCACAGGGAAGATTAAATGTATTGTGCGTTGTAACAACAGGTCACTTTCATTCATTCACTGGTATTCGGAAGGAAGATATGACCTCATGTTCCGGCTGGAAGTTCTGTCATCTGGTACGTAGAGTTGATGGAACTTCCAATACAAGTTCTGTGCACTTGTTTTGTACATTTTTTTGTTGTTCCCTTGGGCTTTCTTCTCCTTTTATTTATTTATTTGTTTTTTTTGGGGGGGGAGACATAACGGCGAGTTTATATTGCTTGTCTATCATCATTGCAAGATACGTGTACTTTGAGTTCACCAAAAATTCGGAATAGTTTTGATTGAATTTGATCGTTCTCTCCCCTTTCCTGCTTGTGTTTAACAGCACTGATGCGGCATCATCAGCTCACTCTCCTTTCAGTGCAGTGTGATCAGTACCAGCATAGATTATTCTGAACACAAGTGGTGTATGCAGTTTTGGCTTGGGTTAGGATTAAAGCAAGATTCCCATTTGTGGTCAGTTAAAAAAAGGAGAAATTTCGAGAGCTTTTCACGAGGCACTTTGCCCTCTCCATGTTCCTGTAGGTTTTATGGCAGCACAAAAAGTTTTTAATGCAAGTTCAAAATGTGAAAACCGCAGACGTTATTGCGTGGATCTTCCGTCCACGATTGCACTGGTATCGATAAAAAGTGGACCAGACTTCCCAAGCTGTACAAGCTTGATGACCAGAATTCCAGGATTTCACAGGTGCGCCTCCTCGCTTCTATTTGTTCGATCATGCATACAGGAAACCAAAAGATGAGATCTGGGGGTGAATAAACCGTATTCAGCTATACTGTATCGACACTTGAGTGTAGGCGAACATTACTGAGAGTTATTTCGGTGAGATTTCGTTCAGACAGAATGCTGTTTTGGCGTCAACATTTCTCCGTTCTACAATGAAGGGAAGTGGTTAATCTTGTTGCCTTGGTACTTTTAATCTCAAAACATACTTCATTACTCGAAAAACATTCCATACAGGTAAAACTTTGCTGTTTAATGCTTTTTTCCGAGGTGTAAAGTAACATGGTCCGTTACATTTAGTGTGTTCACGTTACTGGAGTTACGAAGATTTTCAAAGCATTAAAAAA